GTGGGGCTTTGCACAGCCTGTTTTTCCAACAAGCAGCCCCCAGAAGTGCCCCAGCTCCCAGGAGGAAGGAGTGCCAGCACTGCTGCAGCACACACACGGCTGGGAAGCCTGGCAGGGGAACAGCACAGGGGACAGGACATTGAAACCCTCTCCCCTTTTTGCTCTAAATAAGTCCTGGACCCCACTGTGCCAACGTGCCAGGAAGCAGGCAGGGGTGCTGGGCAAAGGGCTGAGCTCTCACCGAGGGCATCTCAAAGGCAACTGCTCATTTATGCAACATGCCAGTTCCTGATTACAGAGGACAACGTTCCACCCAGGCTCCTTGAATCAACACTTCCTTGAATAAAAAACTCCCAGCAGAGACCCAGCAAAGGGCTGGGCAGAAAACAAGCCCCGATTTCCACAGGCAGGAGGTTGAGGGTGGGTTGAGTTGCTTTCAGTTTGTTTTCAGAGCTGCTTCAAGCCTGCCAGGGGGGAGCTGGATCCCCAGTGCCTCAGCACTCCCTTCCTCCTGCACCCCTGAGCTGATCCTGGATGAGAAAACGTGCTGAGAGTTGAAGCTCAGCACCAAAAGGTCTAGAAAGGGCTGGGTGGGGGGTAGGGGAGGATACACCCCTGAGCTAACTCATCTTGCACACCAGGTATCACACTCCTACCAGAAGAAAAACGACAAACAAAATAAAAATAGCAGGTGAGTCAGCTGCTAAAAGGCTGTCGGGGTGATCTGGTTGTGGTGAGGGTTGTGTTGACTCCTCACTGAACACTCCATGGCATGAGAGCTGTATTTTTATCTTGGCTGTGAGCAACTCAAATCTTTAGATAATCGTGGCTCTGTTTGCTGGCCCAAATGCCAGCCACAGCCCGTGGCACTCAGGAGCACACCAGGCTGGCCATGGCATGGACAATGCCAGCCTGAAAATGGGCCACAGAGCATGGCACACAGGTCCTGGCAGGGCACACGGGTCAGGACAAGCTGCAGGGAGGAAGGCCACCATCATCTGACTTCAGCAAGCCTTTGAACCTGGATGACTCCCCAGCTAATCAGCAACTGAATGGGCTGCCCAGCCCAGCCCTGTTTCACCAGCAGCACCAATTTGGGTGTGTTTATGGACACTAATGAAGGGCTGAGTTCAAAAAGGAGCAGCTTTGACAGAGCACCAAAATGGGCCCACAAATTGTTTTCTTCTCAGAGGTGGCCTGTTAACAACAGAAGCAGGAGGGGAGGAAGGAGCTGTGCCCCCACCAAGGACCAGGTCTGTGCCCCCCACCCTTGGCATCTCTGTTCCAGGAGGCACCAGCACAGGGAGCAGGTTGGGAGGGGTCACAAGGACCCTGGCAGGCTGCAACTCAAACCCTCATAAACTCCATAAAAATGGAGTTTTGGACTGAAACCAGCCAAGGTCCTAGATCAGGTCAGCCTGGAGGGGAGCAGAGATGGGGTTAAACATGAGCTGGCCCTGCCCATCCCAGGGAGCAGTTACAGCTCCCTGCTCCCCTCACCAGCCTCCCAACAAGAGCCCAAACAGGATCTCCTGTGAATCAACCCCAGCTGCCTTTGTCATGACAGGCCCAGAGCATCCTCCACATGCCTGAACATTTCAAACTCATGATCTCTCACCCTTCCTCCTCCGCTCAGTCACCCCCAGGAGGGCAGTGGGGGCAGGGAGCCTTCACCAGGAGCTGCCCCTGTGCCTCACTCAGTCATTAATCTCTTCTTTCCAAGACTTCATTTAAGCTGTTCCTAGGTAACACCTTCATGCCCTGGCAGGACACTGAATAAATCCCCTGCTGCCCAAGCCAGAACCCTGGAGTCAGCATGGGGAAGGAGAGGGCAGGACACCCAAAGCCCTGCATTAGTCATCAGACCAATTCCCAGCCTTAATTCCTCGGGTTTAGATGGTCAGGTTTAGAGTCAGCATGTTGACTAAGCAGCTTTTTTTCCTGAACCTCCTCCCTGACACAGCTGGATATTAACAGTCAGCCCCGCTCCAGCCAAACCCAGGGTGGGATTGAGGCTGCAAGCCCAACCCTCGCCCTCTTCACAAGCCACACAAGAGTTCTGGGCAAGAAAACGAGGCTGGTTTATACTGCTACATTTTTATTAAAGTAACAAAAGCATACGTTAAAAGGATCTGTACATTCTGGATATAAAAATGCTACTGTACAATTAGTAACCATCCGCTCCCTCCTCCAAGTGTAGCTTACAAACTTTTTACCATTTTCACCAAATACAAAAAAAAAAAGCAGGTCCCGTTCAACAGTCCAGCTTGTTAAAACAAAAACAACAAACAACAAAATCCACAAAAGAGCCAGAAAACCCCTCAAATACACTGTCTCCAAAAACACACCACTCGCGCTGCAGTCGAGAGTCAGGCTGGTAGGCAGAAGGCAAGAGACACTAATTCACAGCTTTTACACGTAACCAGCTACAAGACAAATGGATTCTACCCAAGTTTGGTTGGTTTTGAAGCTAAAAACCAGACCCCTTTAACTTTAGACTCCTCCACAGCAGGGACAAGAATGACACTTGGCTATTTTGGTTCTGGAAGTGGGGGTATGTTAAGAGCAATTTTAGTGTATTCCTTTGGTGTGGGCTGTTGTTCCTGAAAAATAAAAAAAGAATTCTTCTGGTAAGAGGGAGGGAACAGAGTAAAATGGGGTGTGTAAATCTTAAGACTGCTTTGATGGTGACAAATGACAACCCGAGGAAGTACCAGCCTTCAGGAAATGCCACATCCAGGCCAGGAGAGCAGCCAAGCCAACTGCTGCTGCTCCTGGGTGCAGTTCTCTTCATGGGCTTTCCACTCCAGCAGGTGAAGTGAGGACTCCAAAAAGCACCAAGAGCCCTTTTTCCATAGTAAAGGGAATCTGCTTTTTGGAAGTTCCCAAGTACTCGCCCCTGGGTGAGGTCACCTATTGCACAAGATCACCAAAGAAAAAGCCCCAGGGCTTCATTTCAGCTTCTGCTTTGCTGACATGAGAAACTCAAGTGATGCAGAGGGAAGTGATGCAACTTCAGAGCCACGGTCTGCTATTACTGTTCAAGGACAAATAACTCACCACTTGACATTTTAAAAAGGATCTAAGAATGGAGTTTGGTTTTCCAGTTCTGGATTTCATGATTGGAAGCTTACAAAAAGCTGAATTTATTTTTCCATGTTAGTAGTCAGAGCCGGGGAGCTGTACTGTGGTTTTTTTTTAAAATATATTAAAAAAGCCCCAAACTACCAACTGTGACAGATGGGTGGCTTCCTTCCTCTCCCAGAGAGCCCAAGATTTGGAAATATATTGCACAAATGTCTGAGAACTTGATTCATCAAAGGCTGGGCAAGAACAACTCTGGTTACACCAGTCAGCTGCCAGGTCAGGCAAGAGGAAGGTAAAAAAAACTGCTGAGAGACAAATCTGGGAAAGTTTCATCCCAGCTATGTCAATGCCCTGCTCTTCCCATCACTTCTCCAGGATCCCTGGAGGAGCACCAGCTGGTTAGAAAGAAGGCAATGGAGATACAACATCCTGGTCAAGGCTCATTCCCAACAGGCGGGTGAGGTTTTTAGGGCAGCACTTTCAGCCCCTGCCCTGTTTGTAGTTAACCAGAGCAGATGAAGGGCCAAATCCTGAACAACACTTGGGTAGAGTCTCCCTGAAGACAAGTAGCACTGGGATTCCAAGAGGAGTTTTGCTTGAACAGGCAGAGCACAGGACCAGGCATTAATTGTGCAAAATAGTCGTGTACCAAGAGACCAGAACCAAAGGATCCCCTTACCAAGGTGTCAGTGGAGAGAGATCACCCAGAGGGGGAAGAGAGGGAACAAGTGCTGTGACTTTAAAAGCAACGTGAGGACACCAAAGCATCTGAGCATCCCACACACAGGGGGGGAAAAGCCCCCCAGTACTTCTGATTTTGAGATAGGACAAAGGGGGTTCTCACCCACCAACCTCCACGGCACAGGGTGAGTTGCTTCAGCTCTTCTGGCCAAGGGACACAGCAAGTCAACTGGATCAGGCAACTTGTGCAAGCGAGGGGCCAGACTCTGCTCCTGGAGCACACAGAGCCCAGGCCAGAGCAGGTCATGGCTGATGTCTAAGCCACAGGTAGCAGAAAGGCTTCACAATTCACAGCTGTCCAGTGCTGGTTTCAAGGTCTGGAGCACCCTTCCCAGTGTGCAGCGAGCAGTGGGTGACAGCCAAGGGACTGGGGAGCACCAGGGACAAACAGTACTCCAGGGCCACCACAGCAGCCCTCCTGGGGACCTCCTCTGCACAGCCTGGCCCCCACTGCATCTCTGCCTTGCTCCACGGCACAGGACTCCTGTGGCCTCTTCCAGCCCAGCCCAGCAGCAGAGAGGAAAGATGGGGGGCTGGAGACAGGCCACACTCCCCCTCTTTGTGCTGGGAGTGGGGCAGAGCAGAGCTGCAGCACTCGTGGAGCACGTGGGTCCAGAGCTGTGCAAGAGCAAGGAAGAGGGGCTCCTGAGGTCCCCAGCATCACCCAGCCCTGAGGGAAGGTTTCCCCAAAACACTATTTCCAGGGCCCAGAGAGATCAGACCAGGTGGGGAGTGAAGTTAGTGGAGGGAAGAGAGCAAGTCCTTCGTCCCTTCTCCCAGCACTGGGTGCTACAGCAAGACTGTTGGGTGCCAGGATGGTGAGAAGGCGACGTGGACATCTCCCACCACCAAGCCACACTTCCCAGCCTGGCTCTTCCCCCTCTCACCCTCCATTCCAAGCTGCCCAAATGAGCAAGCCAGCCCAAAATTGCCATCCAACACTAATTAGGTAGATATCGGCTTCATAATAAAAACTCATAAGCTTGCAACAGCTTTAAAAAAAAGGCACCTAGAACACCGCTCCCGTCCCAAGCGGTGCCCGATATTTTAATTTTGGATTTTTCTTGGATTTTTTTTTAAAAAATATAAATAGCTCTTCATCTTAAAAATAGATCCTCGGGCGAGGTATACAGTAGCCTGTGTCTCGGCAGTGTAAAGGACAAGAGGAGCGTTTAGCTGGAGACAGTCATGATGTAGTTTTTGGAAGGACTGGTGCGGCCGAACATCATCTGGTTCTTGCAGGTCAGCAGCCCGTAGGAGCCGAGGGCTTTCTGGCCCGTGGGTTTGGTGGCCGTGGCCTCGTACAAGACGCAGATGGAGCCGTCCTCGCCGATGCGGTACGAGACCTCGTAGGGGTCCACCCAGAGCGTGAGCTCGCTGGGCAGGAGCTGGTAGAGCTGCGGGAGGCTCAGTCCGATCTGGCTGGCTGCCTTGCTGATTATGGGGTCCATTTTGTGGTTGATGCGGATGCAGCGATAGCCCGAGCCTTTGAAGGGTTTCTCGGGGAACCAGTGGTGTTTGTAGTGCTCTGCAAGGGAAGCGAGAGGGGAAGGGCGGTGAGCGGGCGTGCGGCGGCTCCCGGGAGCTCTGCAGGCGTCCGGGCGAGGAGGAAAAACGAGTCCTCCCTCCTTCGGCTGCCTCCAGCAGATGGGGTGGGGGGCTCTGGAGCCCAGCGCTGAACTCTTCCCACCGCTGCGAGCTCCGAGGCGCTGCTCAGCTCTTCAGGCCCCAAAAAAACCCGGCGCCGAGACCCCGACACCTCCTCGGGACCCCGACAGGGGGTGGCCGGGGTAGATAGAGTATCGCCAGCACCGAAACTCCCCGCGCAGGGAGCGACCTCCAGGTCGTTCTTCAGGCCAGGCTGGTGCCTCTTATCTCAGCCCAGCGGCCGAACCGACCGTCCCGTCTGAGGGCCGATAACGCGGGGCCTGGGAGGAGACCC